CCAAAAGCACAGTATTCTCAACATAATTACTGATGGTTTGGCATAGCAACAGTGTAGTATCTTAGCAAAGTCCTGAAATTAGATAGAGTCCATAGACCTGAATCCATGTCGCATACATATCACCATCTACGTAACGATGACCGAGCAATGTAAATTCTGAGGCACAGATTAATCTGTAAAATGGGAAAAACATTTTCTACGCCCAAACCCAAGGCTGGGAGCATCACGTGGGCACACAGGCAATCTTTATAAACTGTAAAGTACAATCTACCCCTGAGGATCATACCTGCTTTATTTCTACCACTCTGAATAGCAACCAAAGAGACAATGAGGGTTGAGCTGAACGTGAATTGAGAACAAGACCTGTGTTTTGGATGTTGTTCTTATCAATGTTTTCTTTATCCTACCTGTGGGATGCAGCAAAGTTTGAGTAAACATGAAAGGGACCCAAAGGTGAACATCCTAGAGTCCTCGTGGATGAAGCATTGAATATGCACCAAGTCAAGCCCTACAAGCCACAGCTGAGCAACCCCATTACAAAGAAATAGGTTCCTTTTCTTTTCCCCCATAACCCTGACCTCTCAGAGCCTGACTTATGTGTTAAGGAAAAGCCTTTTCTCCTCTTGTTTCCTGGCTTTCCCTCAGCAATCCATCCTCTAGACATCCCTCAGACTAGTCTTTCTAAACTGCAAATCTGATGCTGTCAGTCCTCTGACTGGCATACCCAACCCCTACCCCGCCCGGGGCCCCTTGCCTACACCTCAAATCCAGGTGCCCAGACTCTGCATCCAAGGCTCTCCACAAGCCAACATCTCTCAGGTTCATCTCCTGACACATCCCTAGAGGAACCACCCTTCACTGCGGCCCCAAACTCTTCTTCCCCAAAATCACCATACCCTCTCCAACCTCTAAACCTTTGCCTTCTACACAAAACCCTCCTCTCCCTTGCCTATCTATTAACCTCTAGCTCAAACTTCAGAACCAGTTCAAAAGTTACTTTCCCCAGGAGCCTTCCCTGCTCCTGCAAGCCACTTCCTTTCTCTGTGCTCCTGTGGTAGTTTGTTCATGTCCCTATTATGGTATTTTCTCCTTGTCTAGTAGAGGACTTGCACAAAGTGTTCAACGTTGCTGAATGTATGAATGGATTCCTTTCTTTTGCCAGGACAGAAACATCACAAAAGGTCTAGGTTTTTCTGTTTCAATCCAAAAGCAACACCTGTAGCAGCTGGTGAGTGGGAGGCACTCCAGTTAAATAAGGAGCCTAGTTACCAGAAACAAGTTGGGAAGTTATGCAAGGCTAGTGTATTATGCTCCACCTGTGCATTTATCCTAGCGCCATAAGGCAAAGGCACCACCCCACCATGTTTCCTCAGGCTCTGAGTAAGCCAGTACTCCCAAGTCCTGGTGTAAAACAGTCATGTGAGATGCACACATCAAATTCTTAGACTATAAAAAAGTTAACTAGAGATACGACTGTGATGCAATATCTATACAAAAAGAAGGAAACCGTGGCCAAATCATCTTGTTGGAAACATGTATGTAACTTGATGTATAAAGGTAGTCACGATGAGATGCCAGGAAGCCTGAGTCACCGGCATGCTCACCTGAGGAAAGCATTTAGAGTATACAGCTACTTTTGGTCTGCCCAGTGCCTTGAAACAAAATACCACTTTCTCTGGGTACCTGCTCATCCCCTTCCAAACATGTGGTTCTAGGGGAGGCTGCCAATGATGTTATACACACACACACACACACACACACACACACACACACACACCCTTCTGCCAAGGCACAATGAACATGTGACCCAAATTGGGGTTCTCAGTACATCACCCATCTGGCCATCCTGACAAGAAACCAGCCAGGGCAGCAAAGTGTGGGAGTCCTTCTTCTTCTTCTGCAATAAATTGGGAAGATGTGATCCCAACATGGCTGGCAATGAGTCCAACCTCTTGGAACTGGAGTATGGATGCAAAAAAAGAAGCCAGCTCTCAGAGAGTGAGTCTGGTCTTGGCAGTTTTCCAGTGCCCCTGTCCTTCCAGCAGTTTAGTTACACAAGGCAATCAAGTTCCCTTTCTGCCAAACTTAGTTCAAGCTAGGTTTCTATCACTCACAAGAAAGTCCTACCCACAGTATACTCACCCCAATCCCTGCCCTATTGCCATCACAGTCCCCTTCCATTCCTTGCCAAATACCTCCATATGAAGACGTATACATGTTATGCATTAATACATCTTTTTATCCACAGCCGCCCAAAATTCTTCTAGAAGCACCAGAGTTTACATGAATAAGTAAATTACGAAACCAACAAATAATGTCTAACAACAGAGGTATGCCTAAGGAAATTGCAGTATATATGCTTGATATTATACAGCCATCTCAAATGATTACAAAGACTAAGTTATGATATAAAAAACTACATATTATATATTATCTATGAGAGAGAGAGAGAGAGAGTGTGTGTGTGTGTGTGCGCGCGCGCGCGTGTGTGTGTGTGTCATCCCCTCATCCTCGGCCTTCCAAATTTTACCACACAAACATTATTAATAGCAGTAGGGGACGGGGGATAATTGTTTTAAACTAAAAAAATTGTCATCTAATAGTGAAGGATATAAGAATTGATTATGAAACATGCAGCTGTATAAATGGACCCTCTGGCCAGCCTTTTCTTTACCTCATCTACAGAAAGTCACACTACTCAAATCTGACCCCTCTCATTCTCAAGTGTCAGCCCCACCTAGAAGATTTCCTTGACTACCGCTTCACACACGATCTTTTGCACTGAGTATAGGTTATATTAATTAGCTGTGGATTTTAAATTGTTTTGCTTTTTGTCTTGTATAGCATTTTCACCTCCCTTAGAAAAAGAAAACTTTCAGGAGTTACGTATTGTAATTCCATCAGTATCTAAACCAGATACACTGTGTGTTCAATAACACTGAATAAATATGAGAAACAGGTCTTTTAATAACATGCAATATACTACTGCACTCTAACATTGCTGGTGGCAGCATAAAATGGGCCAGGCTTTTGGACAAATAATTTGGCAACATGATTAACCAACCAGTATAAAATATTGGCTGGGTGCAGTGTCTCACACCTGTAATCCCAGCACTTTCAGAGGCCAAGATGCAAAGATCACTGGAGACCAGGAATTTGAGACCAGCCTGGGCAACACAGCCAGACCCTGTCTCCACAAAAAACAAAAATTAAATTAGCTGGGCATGGTGGCATTCACCAGAAGTCCCAGCTACACAGGAGGGTGAGGCAGTAGGATCCCTTGAGCCCAGGAGTTTGAGGCTGCAGTGAGTTATGAGCATGCCACCGCACTCCCGTCTAGGCAACAGTGTGAAACTCTGTCTCAAAAAATATGTATTTACATATATATACATATAGGCACTATCTGACCCAGTAATCTCACTCCTCAGGATCTATCCTAGGGATTTCAAGAGAAAATACCCTTATGTCGAAAGACGTTCACTGTGGCATTATTTAAATAGCCAAAATGTCCAACAAAGGAGATTATTAAGTAAATCATGTGAAATCTATTCAGTGAAAGAGTATGCATCAGCATTCAACATGATCGTTCTGGAACCTACACCATGAGATGGTGCCTATGATAGACTAAGTGATCAAAGACAGAATGGTATTTAGAATCTGATTAGACCAAGAGCCCAGGTGCACCAGGACTGAATGGCAGTACAGAAAATCAGAGTTATTTTGCTAGGGTAGTGGAATTATAGCTACCATTTTCTAATTTTTCCAGATTTCCTTTATGGACCCATTAATGTTTGTTAAAATTTTATTAAAATATACAAACATTTGCATTTCAATTCTTTCTTCAGTGTTAACATTGGGATTTCAACCTCTGGATCCTGGTGCCATCAGCAGCAGGCACCATAGAGCTAACCACTGGTACTCTTTTGAGTCCTCTACTCTAATGACTGCCTGGCCCAGGATCTCAGGCAGACAATTCAATTAACTTGCATGGCAATGATCACTCAGACCCAGACCCCCATCTTACCTGATTGAACCAAGGCTATGTTCTCAGGAGGGATTAAATTAAAAGACACAGAATATTTAAGTTTAAGCATAATTGAAATTTAATAAGCTTACCAAATTCAGAGAGGATTTTTAAATGCTAATACCCAATGCTAAATAGAGTACAGTCATAAAAAAGATCACCTAGAGAAACCTGGTATAATCTTTCTGTAGAACAATTTGAATTTATCTATACAACAGTCCTTAAAAAATTCATACTCTTTGGCCCAGTTATTATACCTCTATCAGGAATAATTGGTGAGGTGGGCATGGTGGCATGCACCTATAATCCCAGCTACTCAGGAAACTGAGGTGGGAGGATCACTTGAGCCCAGGAGTTCAAGAACAGCCCAGGAAACAGAGTGAGACCCTATCTCAAAAAAAACAACAAAGGAAGAATCAGCAGATAAATATTTATGTACAAGGATGTTTGCTGCAGAAGTCATAAGGCAAAAAAAAAAAAAAAGTAAAATAATCTAAACGCCGTTCAAAAAAGAACTAGTTAAATAAATTGTAATACATCCAAGTGATGAAATATTATGCTGGCACAAAAAAATTGTTTTTGAAGAACATTCATTACACGGCAACAAACCAGACAGAGAACATTAAACTTAAAAAAGCACGATACGAAACTGTATTTTCAATTTGATAACAACTCTGTGTGTGTGTGTGTGTGTGTGTGTGTGTGTG